TGTGTATGTATACATGTGTGCATACGTATATAAACACGTACGTACTTGCGTATATACATATATGCGTATACGAATATATATATATATATATATACATATACCTGTATGTATGTACATGTGTGTTTATGTATAAATATATATATATATATATGGGTGCTTTGTACTTGCTATTCTTATTCAAAAGTGTTTTTAGAACCTTTACCGCGCGATTGAATTATACCAAGACTTTTCTACCGTCGAGTCGTTTAAGTACTTAAAAGAGGAAATTGCGTCAAGGGAAGCTTTCCTGTCAGAATTCTCACGAAGGGTTTGGATGGGTAGGTTCATTAGTTCATCGTCTTGTCACTTGTTTTTTGAACAATGCTCTCGTTTTAGAAAATTGTAAGAAGCTTGAAGCTCTTCAATCATCGGATAATGCTCTAATCTCTGAACTCGTCCAGTACGTTCCTTCTTTGCTCTGTTTCTATAAAAGCACCTTTTATGCTTGGCAATGCAAATTTTTATATGAAAACCCACATTTAATACATTCCTATTTCTACACGTTTTGCACCGACAAGCCATCATTTACATAAAGCCCTAATTAACAGTGGCTTTGAAACCGACTGTCATTTAACCTCTGTAGCAAAATAATCAACATGTGTTTAAATTGTTGAGCTTACGCGACGTTGACAATAATGTGCATTCGGCCAACGTTTCGACGTCTTCGCCTTCATCAGAGCCGATAATTCGAGTCGAAGGTCCACAGTGGTTTGTCTTCTCGATGTGGTTTCTTTGTCATTGTATCGAGTCTGATCTTCTTCAGTGCAGCATCTCTGGAATGAAGCATATTCACCTGGCGGTGCTCTGTTATACAGGGCGGTTGTTGTTGGTATGATTATCCTTTGATAATAATTTGTTTTTCAGTGGATAATCTACTCTGCAGCTGTTGGTATTATGTTCACTAGCATATTGCAATTTTAGGTAAACAAGCGATAGCAAAACAATAATTTTGAAACGGCCTGAAACTTTGAAACATATGGAAGAGAGCATCGCCGAGTCAGTATGCTTCATTCGAAAGATGACCCCACCGAGGAAGATCCAACTCGATGTGAAGGCGAATACGCGATATCGAAAAGATGAATGACTGTAGACCATCGACTCGGATCTGAAGAAAGCGAAGACGTCGAAACGCTTGTCGAATAGTCGTTTGGTGATAACCTAGTATTAGCTTATCAGTGAAAGTAGTAAATATAGTTCGTATATCTTTTAATTAGTCATGGAAAGCCTACCTGCGATTGTTGAGGAAACATGCCGTGCCCAGGTCCTATGTGGAGTAGAACTAAGGTGTTTACGTCAGTTTTTTTATTTGACGGATGTTATTTCTAGGCAGTTGCGTCTTCATAAGGATACGGACTTCCGTGCTATAATATTCGTACGTACTCGAAGAGGTGCCTCCATACTAACTTGTATTCTAAACTCTCATCCAGACCTGGTTTCCGATAATTTAAAAGCTGAATTCATTGCAGGTAAAATTTCTCTTACAGAATCATAAAATGTTTCATTGCTACCACTGAACTCTTTTGTCTATACGATTTAGTTAGGTGTACTGGTTTGTTTACGCCCAATGCTGATTCACACATAATCGGAGAGGTGTCAGGCTTAAAACAAGATTGGTAAGCGATTAAAAAGAGCTCATTTCCACGTCAAAGTTCATACTAAGTATGATGAGAGCAATCACTTAATCGATCTTGGGAAATAACATCTTGAAACTTTTATCACTTTAATTTCTCCACTTTAATAGTGATTACTTGCCACTCAGGAAAAATATGGTACAGTAACACTTCGGGGATATACTAACTTTAGAAGAAGAGTAGGAAACTAGGTGAGAGAAAGGCAAGACGAGACACCCGCATGTGTGGCGGTGAACGCGTTAGCCCTTGGAAAGGCTTATGGCGTCTTCGATCTCCACCACAAACACCCTCGGTCCAGAGTCTTGACAATATCTCAACTGCATTTTGATTGTATTTCACATAATACCATGCAATGAGAAGTTGCAGTAGGCAATAAATAGAAAGTTTACATTACACCAGCTTTTATTTTGAAGCTGTTTAGTTGTAGCTGTTTCCTTTTTACTTGTTCCATTTGTTCCAGTTCTCCGTAACAGAATCCATGCTATGGTTCTGTGCAGAGTTATGATCATCGCGTAGGAAAACAGCGATGCAGAATCCACATTTGAATACGTAAATGTTCGACGTAAAGTCATTCATGTGTAATGGACGCGTCTGTTTCGAGTCATTTTCAAGTCGCTGAAGGAAGACATCGCCCGCTGTACGCGGTTCATGCTACTAGGTATCCGTTCCGTATAACATATCACAGCAGCATGGTTGATCCTGGATAACGTTCTTAGTCCTAATTTCCTGTTTAGCACTAGACTGCTCAATTTCTATGAGCAAATGATAGCCGTATTTGGGAAGTTGGAAGTTGAAATTATGTGATCCCGTGAGGGTTTTGAACTGTGTTACATGTTCTACAAGTCAGGAATAATTCCGAGGTGAACCTAAAGCCTTGTAGTCTTCCACAGCACAAACATAAGGATTGATCGTGGGAACAAAACCTGAAAAATGCATATCAGAACCCATGACGTGAAGTTGAACCAACAGTATTAAAGGCTCTTGTGATAACGAGTAATGATAGAATCCTTAGTCAGTGTTGGATAACAGATTTCAGAATAAGTACCACGGTGAAGTTGATCACATAGCAGTCAGGTGATGGTTTTGGTCAACCGTTGTTTCTCTTGTTGTAAAGTCCTATATGAAAAAAACTGGTGAAGAACACGACTAATTCATTTACCACCTTTACGGCTGTGCCAAAAACTCATAGGCTTGAAAGTCATCAAGAGGTCTCAAGAAGCATGAGCAGATATGGAAACATCGGGTTACCTCTAACTTATTTCTGGATCACCTTACCGACCTCTTCGAGGTCCAATAAACGTGCAAGGTCCACGTACCTGGAGTTTGTCTTTCACGGGCTACTCGCGTTGTCCTCAACAGGAGTAAAGAAACACTGGACAAAGGAGCCACGACAGCAAGATTTCGGAAAGGATCAAACACGAGGGTTTCAAATTCATGCGATAACAAGAGTCGCTGAGGTATTACTAAGGCACACGAGCCTCATTTTCCCTCTTTCATCTATTGTAGAGCATTGAAAGGTTCTAGAAGTTGGAAGCAAAATCTAGGAGTTGGTTTTATACTGGATTACTGTAAAAGCTTATTTGCAAAATACGTAACCACGAAGAACACCGTTGTTTACGAAGTAATTAAATCCTTTTTTTAAAATTGATCAATTTTTCTAACATATTGGTAACATTCGCAGGTTGGGGTAAAGGGATTTGTTTTCGGTCCTACAATTTCATTCTGCGAGACGGTTTCAATCAACTGAATATCCTCCTAATTATAGACTAGCAGACATTGTCCAGGAAAAGCTATCCTTTGCACATGGGAACTTACAAAAGACAGGCGATTTATTAACCTCCTTCTATCCAGATCGATGTCTAGTTTTCTTCTCTTTTTGTTTTGCGGTGAAGAGATAATACGGTGAAGAAGGTGAAGTCGCAGAAACGTCAGCCATCGTACAACGGCAGCAACAACAACGACGACAGCTTATACACACCTCGCTTCACCTCAACAAGGGTAGTTCGTGAGAACTTACTTGAGACTTGAATGGCCCATCCTCACCGGTTGTGCGGGCGCCAACATAATCTCCATTTTTCGGAGATGTGCTGGTTAAGCCATTGTGGTACTATGCAATACTGGGGTCAGCATAGCCAAAGTCTGTCCCAGGTCTTCACCACCGCAGGCAGTCGTAGCCCTTGTGGATCAGAGGGAGATTTACCACCATGCGACTTTGATAGCAAGGCGCTGGTGGATTCTGGTTGGTATTGGTTTACTCTTAGCTAGGCTTCCTGATGGAAACGCCGGGTTCCTCAGCTTGGGAGACCTTGGCAGGAGATGAATCTCCCGCGGTTTATCGCAGTCCGACGACTAGGAATGCCTCCTAGCCACGACTAGGCGGTAACCCGTTGGGAGGATTCGTGAGAACGTATGTGCATATATCGACTATTTGTACCACGATTTGTGTACAGGTGTAACTAAGGTCGATGCGTGAGAAGGATGTACTGGGTTTCTGTGGGACAAATATAAATAGTCTACTCTTGTAATAACTAGTTCTTTTGTTATACACGTGGAGTAATATCGTACAGTTTTTTAATATTTATAAAAATATACGGGAAGGGACCGCCGAGTGAGATTCTTCATTCAAGTGGTGCGCCACTTTGCTAGATTCGAGTCGATGCGGCAACGAACATGCACATCGCGAAGACGACCACCTGTGGATCGATGAATCGGATCAGACCGGCTCTGAAGAAGACGAAGACGTCGAAACGTTAGCCGAACAAACTTTTTTTATTAACCTCTGGTTAGCTGAATAGTCCAAGAAGGTAATATTGAATACTGCTGCTGCTGAGGAGAGCATTCCATGTATCTTTTCCGAGCGAATAGGACACTTCGAACATTATGCTTTGGGACGAATGAATACCGTATGCCAACGGAAAACTTGAATTTCATCCATCGCGGTCATCAACGGTACGTTATCATCAATGTGTTAAGGGTACCTACGCGGTTTTTTGCTTTTGACACTGGGTTTTTATGCTTTTTAGATTATAGCGAATAGATTGCGTTATGTTTACATGTTTTCAGGTTTCACTAAAAGTTCTGAAGTGGTGACTAAACGTGAGCAAATGGATAAACTCAAAAGGTGGCTGTATTGCGAACTTTGATTAATTCCTTTAATTATACTATGGAAAGTGATATAATTCACTTAATAGTATTATTGGGAGAAACATATGTTCGCAAAGATGATGGAAGTTGACGTCGTTCGACATGTCAGATTAATTAGACTTGGTGTGTGACACTTCGATGAACTCTTGAAAGGACATTAGGAGACTACCTGACGTGCCTTGCAACTTGATTTATTTATCCGCCAAGTGCTGTATTTTATCAGGTCGTGTTTCTAGGTTCAGAGAAGGGGAGGCTCGCATACTCGTGTCCACTTCTGTTGCCGATGAAGGACTCGACGTCGTTAAATGCAATTTAGTCATAAAGTATAACTGTGCTACCAATGAAATCGCTCATGTACAACGCAAAGGTTCTTATCTTTTCTACTGTTGTGCCGTAATATTTTCCCTTTTCACACTTCTGTACAGGGAATTCAAACTGTTTCTCAGCGATTATTTTTCACTGATTGAATTGAGGTCGTGCGAGAGCGAAGGAGTCGAAGGCCATTCTCATAACTCAAAGTGCTAAATTAAGAGATCAGGAGGACAAGAACATATTCAAGGTATTTCCACTGCGCTTTTATTCGTAATTTGAAGATTTCAAGTTTTGTTGTGTTCAGGGACGCTTGATGAATAATGTCATAGATGCAATCCAAGGAAATCGAATCGATCTCCCATCACTTGTCAGTTGTAAAATGGATCAAGGACAAAAATTATCTTTGATTTGCTCATACGGTATACGTATGCATGTGCATTTTAGGTGAAAAAGGCTATAGAAGAACTTCGGGTTAATATTCAAAGCGAGGCTACGTTGTCTTCGCAAAGAATAGCTGCACAAAAATCATTGAATGTATCGTACGAGTTGTTATGCAGGTTTGTATCGAAGTGAAAATGTGCATTTTGTTAAAAAAAACTTAGGTGTCTGAAATTCTCATTTTTTTTTAGTAAATGTGATGCATTGTTATGCACCTCAAAGGATATCAAGACCTACAAAAATTCGCAATATTGTGTTTGTGATCCATCGTTTTGGTCGAAAACATTCAAAGAGAAGATAAATGATCCTGACGCACAGGCTAAATTTGGAGGCATTGCGAAGGTAAGTGCAATTTTTACGCGTTCAGAAACGAAACAAAGGCTGAAGTTTAGACATCTTTGCGGTCTCTTACCTCTTTCTCACAACTTATTGTGTTTGTTTCAACAGATTTTCTCCTTCACCAAAGCATATTTTCTTGTTTTTTTTTTACAGTTTGTCAATAGAGATCAGGTTCAGTAATGGGTGAACATTTTTCCGTATTATTGATCGAAAGCTCTTTGACTTTCATCGCTTATCATTTTCATCTCTTATTCACTTTTGAAGGACATAAAAGGCCCTTAGTGAAACAGGGTTTTGTAACTCCACTGGCGATATTTCTACGACATATTTATGGATTTTAGTGATGTAAAGTCTCGTGAAATTATTATTGTTGACACTCAGGAAAGTTGCATGAAACTATTTCCAAGATTTATTGGCTGTTGGGAAAGTATTTGCCGTCTATGCTTCAAGCACACAATGGTTAACCACATTAATTATTTTATTTATTGTTAGGTTGCACAATGTCGCATGTATCACGCTATGCGGATCCCAGCACTTCTTGCGTCCGATTCGTTTCCTCTCATCCACCATCCACGATAATTTTCCAACTTTTGCTTGTGACTTTATGTGTGCCTGAGGATTTTTTCAACGACATCACGAATGTCGCTGAATACCGGTCGACTGGATTCTCTCTGATCTCACGAGATAGCCTTGGTAGTTCCCACTTGAACCAGAGAGTGAGCTTATTTCACACAGGCCTGGTGCCGTTTTCCCCACACAGATGGGTTGGTAAGCCTGGCGCGTGGCGCAAGTTGGACCGTTCGCGCAATGACCGGTATCACTACCACTGCACCAACGGCTCTGAATATCTGACTTAAAATGGTTTAATCTACTTTTTTTCTAATAAGACACAAGTTTGGTTATTTTATAGCGGTAAAACTCTAAGCTTTTGCTGCCCACGAAAACTTTTGGGAAAGAAAACTCTGTAAGGGCTTTGATTGTCTATAATTTCTTCAGCATATATTTGTTAAGGTTTGTTAAAAGTGGCATTCGGCTTGCAAGTGGCCTGATTTGTGTCTAGACGAGGTAGAGTTTCACATCATAGTTGTTTAACACACAGAGTCGGACGCTTTATTTGGCTTCGTTGGTGATTTTAGTCCAAGCCTAAATTTTCGCCACAGATATTGTGAACATCATAGAAGTCTGTCATGAAAAAAGAATAATTAGTAAATAAGAAATGATTGCATTGCAATATGATATAAATTTTCCGGGTGGCAAAGTCACTGTTATCCGAAAAAAGTCTTCTTTCTGCACCGAAAGTACCGGTTTGTTGACTAAATTGCGAGACGTGACACCAAAGTAGAGATCCCGTATCGCAGTCATGCCCAAGTATTGGAGAAGGGAAGTGTAGCCAGTTTTTCTATATTATCACATGATCGCCTTCGCATCTGTTGTGCGCATTTCAGCACTTCTTGCATTCGTCTCGATTCTTCGCATCTATCATTCACGAAGATCTTCGAAGTTTTTGGATGTGAATTTGGCTGCCACTTGAGGATTTCCGCCTTATTTATGAATGTCGTTAGATGTTGTTTGAGTTCATTCTCCCTGGAGCCCTGTGCCAGTCGAGCTAGAGGGTTGTCACTTGGATTGCAGATAGTGAACTGTTCTCAGACAAGTCTGCTACCAGTTTCTCCACCACGGAGAAATGAGGCGTTTAGTGAGCCTGGTATGGGGTCGAACCATTACTGTGCTCGTGATGAAGAGGATCAGTACTACTGCGCTACCCGCCCCCTGCCAATTCGTATTACGGAATCTATTCTACGAATTTCGCCAATTAAACGTAAAATTGTTCAAACAGCTGCAACATGTGCAGTGGGCACTATTGATGAACCGAGAGGGTTCGATGCTGCTTTACCACGACATTCGACATGAAAGTGTGCAAAATGATTGCGGTAATGTTGAAAAGAAAATGAACTGCTGTGGTATGGAACTCGTATGGCATCCAGCATGCATGCTTGTTTGGATTTAAAGACTAGTTATCAGACTTCTTGACAACCGTTTACGACGAAGCCTAAAATGTAGTCATAGCGGTGTAAACGAACTTGTTTCTTATTCTCAAAAATGTGCAGCTTCTAATTATTTTAAATCCCACCTGAAGTTCACTACGAATTGAAGTACGTTTACTTAAAACAAGGTTGAAACGATATTCATTCTCTAATCAAGCATATGCTGCATAGTAGTTACTCCCACCTACCGTGTTCATGCTATTTCGTGGTCATCAGGTATAACTATGTACAACCCTAATTAGCTTGAGCGGCAGTGTCCTTAATATGCGCTCACAAATTGCTTTCATGCCGATCCTTAAGCAAATATCTTAATAGTTTGTGAATGTTTTGTTTCACATCACCACTCTTAAACTTTTCGGTTGAAAATGTAAAGGCAGTTTTTTAAAATCCAATTTGTGGAAATGAAGAAGTATTCTGTTCTCAACACGTTAGGGAGAACGTAACCTCTAGAGGCGTCATTTGTAATGAGCAGTTATGACCGATATTCTCTCTGCAGAAGTCCTTTTGTTTCTGATGTTTTATTTTGACCTAGACAACATTACCCCTACATTTCTCATAACTCTTATAGTTATCCAATTCAGATTTTTAACGGGCGTCTGCAAGGAGGAGCACTTAAAGGGAGGCAGAAAATCTTTTTTCGAAAAACCAGTTAACCGACAATTTGACTATCAGTGGTCTCCTATTTCAATTGCAATTATTATGTTGAGTTAGTTCGTTGCTTTTAGTCTTAGTTCTTTTGTAGTTCTCAGATGGAATATGCGGGTAAAAATGTTGCGAAATAGACAGTGCGACATACAAAACACTTCCAAATGCTGGCAGCTATCTGTTTGTATCACGTAGCATCTTATAATAAATGATAGCACACATAGTATTCATACTCATGGAGCGATAGAGCAAGGTCTCCTCGGTAATCTCTCAGGCTCTCAACTTCTGAAGCCTTCTGGTTCTCGAAATATTACCGTCTATCAGTGAAGAACCAGCAGGTCCGTAACAGCCGGAAATTAGGCGTCATCGCGAGTGTGTTAATAAAAACGGGTGCCCCTAGGCAGAACACATAAGCAAAGCGTACTATCATGCATGTATACTAGCATGTCAGAAAAGCAAAACATGGACCTGTACTAGATCACTTAGCTTTGTTTTGAAATTCAGGCGAATACACTGTGACGCTTGGACTAGAAGTGCTCTATGAATTGGTGTAAAAAAACTGTTCTATTTTAAAGACTTTCATTTCTAGACTTCTGTTATAAAGGCAGTTAACAATTTAAGTTCTTAAACCACTAGTAGTCACTACGATTATTTTTATCTAATAGAATTTCATATGCCTCTTTTGGATGCTTTTCGTGATTCGCATTGTTATTCCATAATTTCTTAACACATTCACGACGATGTAAGCTCTGTGCAAGTTCTTCATAATGGGGCACAAGGGTCGACATAAACTCTGTAGAGGTCAATCTTTCGGAGTCTTTATTTTAGTGCAAAGAAGTTGTTTTCCGCACTTATTGTTATCATTTGATAGCTTTTCAATTCAGATGTAAGACCGCAGGTCGTCGAAGTAGACGCCTCTTCGCAATCATTTCTTGATAATTTATAAAGAACCTCTTTTTGGACGAGTTCGTTCCGAAGGCAAGGGACTAGCTGTTGCCGTTTGAGAGGGGACAGAAACGTCTCCGTTGTATTTAAACATTAAAGTTTGCAAATAAGGAGGATCTTTTCGCTACGATAAGATCGTAAATCATTTAGAAGACTTCTAAACTCCTACAGGTAGTTTGTGGAGTGCATCTGCTTACTCGGTGTCACCAAAACTGTTAGCCTTCAGAAGGGCTAGGCGTTCATTTATGTATTTCTCACATACTTACGTGGATACTTGGACGGTCCATCTTCACGAGTTGTGTGGACCCCAGCACATATGCCATTCGTTCCTTTCTCTCGCAATCGTAGTCCATAGTGGTGGTCTTGTTCGAGCATGGTAGCGCTTGAGAGTCTCATACCGTGATCTGTATAACAGCTGCAGCTGAGGGTACAACTGATTAACTTTGTTTACGAACACGTCCGCCCAACGTGTAGGCGGTCGTCCTAAAGGACGTTTGAATTCTCTTTGAGTCCACTCTACTGTTCTTTTCGTCCATCTGTCGTCTATTCTTCTCACTATGTGAGCGGCCCATCTATGTTTCTCCATCGATCTATATTCTTCTGGATCTCGAAGACGTAACAGATTTCGAGGATCAGAGGATCGGGAATTTTCATTCCAGCTTGTCGGTTGTATTTCAGAAGAAATTACTCAAGCGCTTTGTGAGTAGTGCGGAGTATTCATGACGTGGTTGAAGTATCAGCCCACGTCTCTGCAGCATAACAGAACGCTGGGAGGCCCATAGAATCAAAGAGATGAGCGCAAATTTTCGGGTCCTTCAGTTGGTCGGTGGCTTCTTTGAGAATACTTCTTTGAGGTCGGCCAAGCTGCTCTCCTTCTTTCAAGTTCCTCCTTCATACTGTTTTCCACGTTCATTGATCGCCCATGGTATACGTATAATGTGGTCTCTGCAATGGGAGAGCCATGCAATTCAATTTTTTCGCCTTCGCACCATGGGTTTTTCATGAACAGGGTCTTCTTTCGATATATACGAAATCCGATCTTTTTCCCAGCTTCGTTGAGCTCCTTGATCATCATCTCTGCTTCGCTAATACTTCTTGAAAAGATGACAATGTCGTCGGCAAAACGAAGGTTTGGTAGGAATATTCCATCAATACGTATGCCTTTTTCATCCCAATCGAGTGACTTCATTGTCCACTGCAGTGCGGCACTGAACAACTTTGGCGATATTGTGTCGCCCTGTTGAACCCCTTTTCCTATGGGTATTGTAAGAGGTCGATGGAAAAGCTGCATTTTCGTAGTGCAGTCCCGATAGCAGTCGGACAGAGTCTTTATGGTACTCCTTGGTCGACGAGCGCTGATAGGATTGCATTCGTTTCGACACTATCAAACGCTTTCTCATAGTCGACAAAGGTTAGGACTAGAGGTAAGTGGTATTCTCGACAAACTTCGATGACCCTGGGCACGGTTTGGATGTGGTCCATGCAGCAAAATCCTTTTCGAAATCCTACTTGCTCGACTGGTTGCGCCTCATCCAATGTCCTTGATATGCGCGAGAGGACAATCTTTGTGAAGAGCTTATAGAGTGCACTTAACAAGCATATGGGACGATAGTTACGAAGAGCCCTTCGGTCTCTTTTCTTGGGTAGGATAACCGTGCCCGACGTCCTCCACTGGTCTGGGACTTTGCCTTTTGAAGGTGGGCTATCATTTGATTTGAGAGAAGTGCATGTAAATTGTGGCCTCCAGCTCTAAGGAAATTGGCAGTGATATTATCGGGTCCTACAGCTGTGCCTCTTTTTACGCTTTCTATCGCAACTCGAACCTCTGACGAAAGAATTCCTGGTGGCTTTTCTCCAGCTGGGATATTAGGGCACGGGCGGGGGATTGTGGAACGGAAAAGGTTGGTGTAGAACGTTTCCGCTATTAATTCCATATCATGGCGAGAAGTTTTGACGAACCCATCTTCGTTCATCAGGGCTGACAGCGGAACATTGTAATCACACAAGTCCCGACTGCATTTTTTCAGACTGCTTCTTTTCTCTGCTGCCTCCAATAGTTTCTTCTCCTTGTACCGTTGTAGATCTTCCTGCAAAGCTCTTCTGCAGCTGGTATTTATTACTAGCCATGTTAAACATGTTGCAGTAGGATCAAGCTTCAGTTTCCTTCTCTTTTCGATCAACTCCTTAGTAGTGATGGAGATGCGATCCGATCTTCGTGCTTG